GGAAACATAAAGCGTGCACACAGAGCTACAACACCCCTCAGGGCACTTATGTGTGTGTTTTTATTGGCTCCATCCCTTTCTTGTTCTGTGACTTAACTACTCCAAGTCTTATTGTTCACCTAAGAAATGAAGGAAATAATTGTGCCCCTAGCGCAGGAGTTCTGGAAGAACCAAATGCAATGAAAAAATACACAGTTTAGTCCGTTTTTGCTGCTATAACAAAATACCATAAGCTGGATACTTTATAAACAATGGAAATATATTTCCCATGGTTCTGGAGGCTGGGAAGTTGAAAATCAAGGCACTAGTAGCAGATTCACTGTCTGGTGAGGACATGCTTACTGTGTCCTCACTTGGTGGAGGGGTCAAGACAGCTCTCTGGGATCCCTTTTATAAGGCCACTGATCCCATTCAGGAGGGCTCCATCTTCATGAACTAATCAGCTTCCAACGACCCCAACTTCAATTATCATCAGAAATGGGATTAAGTTTAAATGTAAGAATGTAGGGCCTGGGTACAAACAATCCAACCATAGCAATATATATGTAATCTCCAAGTATGGTGTTAGGCACATGGTAGGGGCACAGTAAGTCAGTAATGGTAGCTATAAGATTAGTGAGGGAATGGAACAGGGGATCAGGGGAGTTTCTTCTCATGTGCTTCATTGCTTTTGTCAGTTTAGGGACAGTGTCTTAAAATAGCACATATGTTGAAACCGAAAGCTACTCCAAAAGAATCTACTTGTAAAGTCATAAAAATATTAACTTCTGCTCAATTTGTACTGACAGATCCCAACATTTCAGAATTAGCACCTGGTGTTTAGTGGACGGAAAATAGATTTTGTTGTCATTGTGGATATCCAGAGTGGAAAAGTGTGGGGAAACATAAACATTTAAAAGCAAAATGTCTTTATATATATATATTTCAATCCTATATCTGCTCATATAGGATTGAACCCTAGGCTGGCAATTTATAAATGCTTAAAATATATTTAATGAAGTGTAGTCCCTGTGTCTCCTATTACTTACACAGAGTGGTGTAAATATTTTTGCTGTTGTTACAGTTGAATCTTGCCTCATTCTGTTGCAAAAGTGGTACTTTGAAACTATCTTTCTGTAATCTAAGAAGCAGTCCTTTTTTTCTTGTTGGCGTCACAGTAGTGGTAAAACGAATGGGGGGCAGAAATCCTGCTGTTTATCTGATCTTCACAGATCTAACTGGAACTAACTAGCTTATTTCTGGTGCAGAATAGATGTTAAGAAAGTTCAGAGTTAGAGAAGATAATGCTAAGTGAAGTTAGCCAATTCCCCAAAACCAAATGCCGGATGTCTTCTCTGATATAAGGAGGCTGATTCATAGTGGGGTAGGGAGGGGGAGCATGGGAGGAATAGACGAACTCTAGATAGGGTAGAGGGGTGGGAGAGGAAGGGAGGGGGCATGGGGTTAGAAATGATGGTGGAATGTGATGGACATTATTATCCAAAGTACATGTATGAAGACACGAATTGGTGTGAGTATACTTTGTATACAACCAAAGATATGAAAAATTGTGCTGTATATGTGTAATAAGAATTGTAATGAATTCTGTTGACACATGTAAATAAGAAAAAAATAATTAAAAAAGAAAGTTCAGCTACTCTGGGACTCAGTTACATACCAGAGATGCTAAGCAGGCTAGTGAGGCTTGCACAAGATGCCAGAAGATGGGTATGTATCATCATAAGTTTGTCATGATGGAACTTTGAAAAATTCCTTTGAAAAGGACTTTGGAAAATCACATACAACATAAACATGCGACTATACTTTACCTTTTAACACATTCCACTGCTTTTCAGACAGATAGAGGAATTGGTTCTCTATTTTGTATGTATGAGTGGCAGTAGGCCAAAGCAAGTGGTCTATACTATAATATACCTTTCTCACACCTCTCCACATTGAGGGATTCTTCCTTGCTTTCTCCCAGTTGAGCATCAGAGCTGTCAGTCTTTCTGCACATCATCATCTCTAAACTTGGTCTCCCACTCTCATTTCCACTAAGGCAAACATGAGTGATAGTAGCTGAAAGTATGCTTTTTCCCAAATAATATTTCCATTTTGTAGGGGATAGATCTTTATGGAAGAAAAATCTGGGGTGGAATTTTTAATATTATTCAATTTGGAGCTTGGGAGGGTGTGGGGTGGTGTAGGATATTCATAGTTGTATCTAAGCTTCTGACTACTTTGAAATAATAATGGTGAGGCTTTGCCTTTTCTCTCTCCATACCAGTCCCTTGTGGCCTCTTACAGTTCCTTCCTGTATAGTTCCTAGTACTATAGAATGGACTTGGCAGTGAGAGCAACAGTACCCATGGATAGACTTGAGTATATTGTGGTTTTCTGAAAAGGGAACTGCACAGTCCAGGCAACTTCCCTCAAGCAGATGCAATGATTCTTGTTGGTGCACATTTCATTTTCTGATCAGTTTGTTCTCAAATTAGTACAAATGAATAATTCTGACATTTCCATGAATAGGCAGTCAATTAACCTGGATAAGGAGCAAGCAAAACAAAAAGGGGAGATTTTTATCAGTTTTTGCTTATCTACCTTATTCTGCTAGTTATTTACTTCTGGTTATAATTTTACTCTACTCACCTCCCCCACACCCACCCAATGAATATATCTACATGCACACACACATATTCATTCTGCCTTTGAGAATCATAAGCTAAAGACAAGTGATTTTTTTGCTTTGTGACTAGTTTGGCATAGATGTCATTAACCCTTTCCTACTTGACCACTTTTGAGGGAATTCAATATGTCTGGAATCCTCTGGGGTTCTGAATACTCTTTCTAGAGTTTACTGCATCTTGTTCACCCAGGGTTTGACAAAAACAGAATTCTTAATTTGCTCTTGGAAAACTTCTCATTTTATATTGTAGCAGTCAGAAATTATTTGGATTGTAGTGTCATTTAACTCTTTAGTAATATTAATGCTACCCTTTTATTAGAAGTCTGGCAGTGTTTCCTTTTTAGGTATGGTTGGGCTCTTCAGTCATTTAACTTTGAATCCAAACCATTCATGGATTGGGTGAATAGTAGAATCCCAAAATAGTCAGACTTGTGTAGGCTCACATTTGCATGAATCTGTATTGCCCCCAGACTTGGTGAATAAAAGGATATTACGTATTTCCATTCTAGAAACAAAGTTTGATTCTTCAAGAATATGTACAAAAATAAGATAAAAATTATCTTGACATGACTCCCAGAAAATATGCAGATTAAAAATGGAACAAACGGCTCTACCTAATGGGAAGACAGACCCTTCAAAATCAGTATTAATCATGTCCCATTTGAAAAGGTACATTTGACTCTCATCACCATATTTGGGGAAAAATTATGTAATCTGTTTTCTTCAAGAGACTTTTTATGGAATGAGATGTTTTTTAGAAGGAGCATGTCTGTATTTCTACACTGTCAACTAGCAATTAATAGATTGAGCCTGTGCCTGAGAATGCTTCTAGTTTCAAACATATGTGTTAGAGACTATAAGAAATCTCAACATTTGTTTCCTAAAGGCATAAAACAGAGGTTTATTTAGGAGAGTAGATACACATTCAAGGGACAATGTGGTGGGGGAACAATCTCACAAGAGAGATACCTTTTGGGTAAAGCAAGGAATATGCACTCAAGAATGTGGGCTATCTCCAGAGGGAGAGATGATAACCCATTGGTGTGGGGTGTTAATATTTACAGAAGGTCGTTGCTAGGGGCTGGACAAGAGATGGAGGTGGGGTGGAGCTACACAATTTTGTGCCAGTTTTTCCTTTGCTTACACATTTCCCTCATTTTACAAGGGCATGGACCAAGGGCATGTCCCTTAAGTTCAAGATTTACAAGTGTGTTTTCTGCATCTCAGTGGCTTGTGGATATTTCCTTTAAGATTCAGTATATCTCTCTCTTTATCCTAATTCCCTATCTCATTTCCCTCCCCGAGATATTGATCTCTTAATCTTGAGACTTGGTGAGGGGTGAAGATCCATCTTCTTAGGGCTACTTCAGGCCACCAAGAGGTCAGGGATCAGAAGTCTCACCCTCACTGTTATAAAGAAGATAGACACTCTCAATACATTTTAACATATTGAATACATGGAAAAATTAACAATTTTAAACTGTATTTAAAACAATAACAAGTGATTGGTGTCTTCACTAGGGACAGTAGCATATCAGCATGTAATTGTGATGGGGAAAGTGAAATTTTCTATTTACTCAACAGTTTGTTGCTAAAAGATGAGTGGTATCAGGAAGGCCAGAGGTTATATTTGGAAAAGTCATCTAAGGCTGGGAAGAACCCATAGGCTCCACCAGGCAAAGGTTTTGATTCTCTCAGTTCTAAGATGAACTGCAAAGGGCAAGATGAAGCAGTAGAATCCAAAAACTGAGGCTGGGGGCAAAAGGAAGACCTGGGCAGAAAGTTTGGCAACATGGAGTTGGGATCCCAGGCAATTGGCATCCAGCAGTCAGCACTAGGGAGGAAGGGGATTAGAGAGAAATGCACTTCAGAAAGTGCCCCTAGTGAACACAGAGAATAAACTGTAAAGATGAAAGTGTGTCAAAAAGGCTCCACCTGCTTATTTGTGGACGGTTGAGGACATTCTGTAGATGATAGGCATTAACTATAACCCAGGCACATGAGCTTCCTGTAACTGGGCTGAGCATATTGATATGTTTAGGTCAAAAGAGCAGGTCTGAGTATGTGCTGTGCATTTCCGGGTGGGTGCTGCCTTCTCGGCTTGGCTCTCATTTCCCATTACTGCTTTGCTGTGACTCACTGATAGCCTGCCACATGTCATTAGGCAGCTCAGCTGCTGCTCTCATTTCTCCCAAAGGTATACAGAGGTTTGCATCTTGGCTTTTACATTTTTTTTTTCCTCCGAGAGCTGGAGGAAGTGGCCTTTTCACAGTTTGGTTCATTGAGTTGAATACTTATCGTGTCTTACAGTTTCAATGTTTCTTGCTCATAGGTATTTGATCCTGATGACCTTTATTCAGGGGTTAATTTCTCCAAGGTTCTGAGTACTCTTTTAGCTGTCAACAAAGCAACAGAAGGTAAGTAAAGTTTGTGATTTATGAGTTCTGGGTGACATTTTTGAATCCATGTGTTTCTGATTGTTCTAAGAGTTAACCATGCCCTGGATTGATTAATTGGTGAAAATTTGCCCCTTTTGCCCCCAAATAAACCCCAACAAATATCAAGTACTTTAATTTTTCATGGTTTAAACATACTTATCACCATATTTAAACATGCATATCACAGAGGTATTCTAATGCCCTTAGTACAATAATAGGAACAAAGAAAACCCAATTTTGTTCCAAAACTTTTGAATAGTCAACTCAGTATAGCAAGACAAAAAAAAAAAAAAAAAACAAAAAAAAACAGTTCCCTCTTTTTAAAATAAAGTTTACCAAGTACAACCATCACTTCCCTTTCCACACTAGGAACACATTTTTCTCATAGTCTTCCCTGTGTCTGTGTGTATGTTGAAGGAACCCCTCAGTAACCTTGCACTGGAAATGAAACTTCAAGGTCTTAGTAAATTAAGAGTATCTTTTGTTTAAATGTTTACCATCCGTTACATTGGAGGTTATTAAGTATAAATCCTAGTAAATTTGAGGGAAGTGTTGATAAACTTTTTTTTTTTTTTTTTTTTTTAATATTTATTTTCTAGTTTTCAGCGGACACAACATCTTTGTTTGTATGTGGCGCTGAGGATCGAACCCGGGGCCGCACGCATGCCAGGCGAGCGTGCTACCGCTTGAGCCACATCCCCAACCAGTGTTGATAAACTTAAGAGTGGAATTTTACTCCTTCTATGATACAGTGTCTTACCTACAGTGGTAGTAATAATCATAGTTCAAATTCTTTGAACCCTTTCCCTGGGTCTAGCCTGTCCTAAGAGCCCTAAGTGGTCTTATTCCATGTTTGAAACACACCTGGGGATAGGCATTATTATTATTATTAGGTCCCTATTATCAATAAGGAAAGTCAGGTCCACAGTTGCCCAACTAGAAAGTGGCTGAATTAGAATTCAAACTCATACCTGACTGACTTGAGAGCCCTTGAACTCAAATCTGAATCTTCCTGCTCAAACTGTTAGAGAGGCAAGAAGCTGTGTGCCCAGCACTGCCAGGTGTTACCAAGAAAGTGGAAGACATAGTTCCCCCGCCCTTGGAAAAATTACCGTCTATTTAGGGAGACTCAACTTACCCAGCAGAAACAATTGGAGAGCAAGAACAGACAATATAATCAAGTGCCAAATAAGATGGAACATCTAGGAAGCTATCAAGTAATTATAGTTTTAGTCAAAAGAGCTGTATATAATAGCAAGACATGGAAAAATACTTCTTTAAAGTTGTTCTTTTGCTATTTGAAAAAAAAATGCATTTGAGCTATTGCAAGGCGTATAGCAGAAAGTACAGCTAATTCAAGTAACTATATTTAACACACATGACAACTATCCAGTTCTGGGCAGGGAGGATCATATAATTCTAACATTATGCCACACAAATTATATGTTCCTTTGCCAAACTCTCCTAGCAAGTTTTACAGTCTCTTCCCTTGCCGCAGATATTTATAAAAATACAAGGTGAAAGTTAAAACCCACGGCATCAAGGAAATTACTTGGATACTGAGCTTGTCGCCTAGGGAATGTTTGGGCTTTAGACTTTTGCAGTTTATATATTTTAAAAATAAATGGAGAGGAAAAGAACCCTCATTTGAATTTGTCAAGAAGCCAGATTCTCTCTTTAGTACACTTTCAGCATACTGAAAACATCCAACTCAGCTTTGGTCTGATCAAATTTCACAAGGTTTCAAGGAAGAGAAGACTCCTGAGTTTGATTTTAAACAACAAATTATTCTAGTATCAAGATCGCATCTGTCTCAGACACGCACTCTTTCTTATTCTCATTCTCCACTCTTCCCACGGCACACTAGGGAGATTTTAGATTGTATGTGCCACATAAATCCTTACATGTAAGAAAGAGCCACTGAGTTATGGGCCAGAAAACAGGGCGAGAAATTTAAAATATTTCAAAGTAATAAGAGCCACAAACAGCTGTTTGGTACCCGATATAGTTCTGCCTTGGATAACAGGGCATATAGTTGTGACTGGTTCAGGAAGGAAGAGTTGTAGGGAATGGGTTAAGAGAAAATGTGGTTCTGTCGCTGCTTTTCATTCTACTGGAGAGCAATGGCCAGTAAGGTTGAGAACAAGAAGTTGGCCACCAAAAAGGGAGGAGGGCGGGGGTGGGGGTGGGTTTGAAACACAGTTGGCATGTTCATAACAATACCATTGGGATTATAGCTAGGATGCTTTTTATAAAGTCCCATACAAGATTATGTTGTAGATGGTTTTCTGACCTGAGTGCTTCCTTTACCATGCCTTTTCCTCTTTTCACAGATCAGCTCTCAGAAAGACCATGTGGACGTTCCTCTTCTCTTAGTGCTGCTAACAGTTCTCAGACAAACCCACAGGGAGCAGTTTCTAGCACAGCTCCAGGGCTGCAAAAGCAGGCAAAGACAGTGGTAAGTATAGTCCCCAATTCTCCCTGTCTGCTTTAAAATTCATAAAATAGGACTCATATCCCAGTTGCATTTTCATATGTGGTGAAATTGTCATTCTGTTTGTTTTGGGTGCCACCAAGAAAACTAGCTATAAACTAAATACCCATTCAGGCTAGACTTTGGAACAAATCAGGCATGTGGGGCCCAGAGTCTGAAAATCAGGGTTAAAGCCCCAGCTTGGCTGCTTATTAGAATCTGGCAAGTTACTTAACTGAGAGTGCTATGCAAATGTAAGTTATTATGACTATTCCGGATGACGCTTTGCTGTTATTTTCCCTATTCCTTGGTTTATTAGAACTAAGTGGGTAGCTGGCACTTTAGTAGGCAATCAATAAATATTCAGTGCTGTTCTTAGCATTATTGTCATCTTTATTTTTCTCTTTGAGTAAGACTTGATTTTAAATATCAGTCTATGATGAATTTTTATATTGAGATCTCCCAGTTGTCTTTGCATTTGGTCTTTTTTTGTGTGTGTGGGAGGGTACGGGGATTTAACTCAGGGGCACTTGACCACTGAGCCACATCTCTGCCCCCTTTTTATATTTTATTTAGAGACAGGGTCTCACAAGTTGCTGAGGCTGGCTTTGAACTCGTGATCCTCCTGTCTCAGCCTCCAAAGCCACTGGGATTATAGGCACGTGCCACCATGCCCTGATGCATTTTATCTTATTGGGAGTTTTTATTTGGGAGGAAATGCTCCATCTCGTCTTTGGGTGAAGCCTCTCTTCTCTGTCAAAAGCCACCTGCTCCCTGTAGGCCATCATGTCCTGTTACTTCCAAAGCACTTAAACGGGTGGTTCTTAACCTTTCTGAGACCACAGATCTCATTGAGAAGCTGATAAAAATCATGGCACCACACCATTTGTACCCTCTTAAATTTTATACCAAAAGTCATGTTTATGAACTCGTTTGGGTAAAGAGCCATTGTGCTTATTATTTTCTCAAAAGGGTCTCAAAAATTTAAGCCCAATTGATGCAAGACAGGCTAAAATTATTCCTAATTTAGTTAGCTATGAGATATTTGACCTTTGCATGGGACCAAGTATGACCAAATTAAGATGTTATTAGTAATTGGAAGATAGGAACAGATTTCTGTGAGAGTTGATTAGTACCTAATATGTGGGCTAAGATTGTGTGTTGGGTAGAGGCAGGGTGAAATCGTTTATCATCACTCTATTACTTAGGTTGGTTAAATAGGTATCTTTAGATAATAGATGAAGGGAGAGGGAAATGAAAGCTATGACCCCATCCAAAATACACATTCTGACAATGCAAAAATTTGCATAAAGTTTCAAGGGGTTAATTAATACCTCCGGAGGGCCATTCATAGACTCCTAAGTTTAAAAATCAGAACTGAGATGGATATAGGGTTTTATTCTTGGTCACTCAAGGATAGGTCTTACCTAAAACCATATAATTTCTACTATGCCTCAATTAGATGCCTCTTAATCTGCTGTGGCTTTTGTTTCTCTAGGAGATGACGGAAAATGGAAGTCACCAGTTGATAGTGAAGGCAAGATTCAACTTTAAGCAGACTAATGAAGATGAGCTGTCAGTCTGTAAAGGGGACATCATTTATGTCACTCGAGTTGAAGAAGGAGGCTGGTGGGAAGGCACATTAAATGGGAGAACAGGCTGGTTCCCTAGTAATTATGTCCGAGAAATTAAATCCAGTGGTAAGTGAGACCTTTAACTGTCTTTTTGAATATGACTTTTGTGTTTTCTTGTTGAAATTTTCTTATTGAAAATCTTGTAGTTTTAATTGGTTAACAGAAACTGTTTATACTTACATGTGTAGTCAAAAATAAGACTAGAACAGAACTGGGAAAAATCTGTGGTTAGATATTTTGAAACAAAGTTGTATTTAGATTACATCAAGGCAACAGAAAGCTAAAAAAGCAAAGGAATTCAAAGCTCAGACAACTGTTCCACCTTAACTATGTCCCTTTCTGTCTACTAATTCAGGCCCCTGTAATATAGTACATAGTCCTTACTGCTACTCTGAGTCCCCATGGCAGAATACAATAATAAAGGAGGCCAAGTGCTGACTTCCTTTTTTAGCCCTAAGTAGACCTAAGACTACATGCCTCAAAGATGTGTTTCAGAGATAACAATCATAGGGTTGTAGGAAGTTGTCTGGCTGCTTTATTAACATTATTGTCTTTAACCTATTGTATATTCTTAAGAAAGAAGGGAAACTCTACTTATATTTCAAAAACCAAACTAAAACAAAACCAAACCAAACTAATTCCAAGACTCTGATACATAAAAGCATGTTACAACACAGACTTCACTTTCTAATAATATCCACCCAAGGGCTCCTTTCAGTTAATAGCTCTTTGTGCGTTATCTCTTCTGTAGGTATCTTCATTGCTTTTTTTGGGGGGGGGGCTGGGAATTGAACATAGGTGCAATCTATTACTGAGCTACATTCCCAGACCTTTTTCATTTTTTGAGATGGGGTTTCACTAAGTTGCCTATGGCCTTGCCAAGTTACTGAGCCTGGCCTCCAGTTTACAATCTCCATCTCAGCCTCCCAAACTGCTGGGATTACAGTTGTACACAACTACACCTAGCTTCATTGCTTTCTTAATGCCTCCAAATTGCTACTTTTAATTAATAAAATTATAGATTCACTGTAAATAAAATGAAACATTATGGAAATATAGTGTAGACAATAAAAGTTCCTTTTCTCTTTACCCCTCCTCCTAGATAACCATTGTTAGAAGTTTCTCCCAAAAGCATTGAAGATAAAATTTAGTTTGCACACTTTCTGTGTTTGGATAAAAAGGGACATATCCTTTAATGGAATATGTTTACTACCAGATTTGTAATTATTTTTGTGGTGCATAGACTTCTCAACATTTTTCCCCAATACTGGGGATGGAACCCAGCTCATGCATGCTAGGCAAGCAATCTATCACTGAATCACATCCCCAGCCTCCAGTATTTTTAATTATTGGGAATTGCGATGTTTCAGTTAAGCCTTGAAGTATTTTCACAGGCCTTGCCTGGAATTTCCTTGGTTCTGATGATTTTTACAGCTGATATTTACCCATGGCTACATCTTTCCATTTATATAATTGTTAGGACTCCTAAAACATTTTCCAGATTTACTCTGACGTTTTTTCCTTGATTAAGTGTCTTCATCTGCAGAACCAAAAGGAACAGGCCTTTGTTGCCTGGTCTGGAAATTCCAAGCATTGTTGAGGGGACATGGGAAGTGCATAGCATGTCCTCACTTTGATGGCTTTCATAATGGTGTCCCCTATTATGATACCTTTTGTAGCAGTCTGGTCATTCCTTTGTGGACTGCCCCAGACTGTTAGTTCTGGTGTCCAACCCCTTCCCTTCAATTTTTTTCCTATATGCTCTTTGATTTGGGACTCATATGGTAAATTCTGACTCTGAGTCAAGCACCTAGGTAATCCCAAGAAATAGCTAAACCAGATGTTAAGGATAGGTCTGAGATTTGGGAGACAGGAGGCCTGCTAGTCAGAGATGGCCTAGGATTAGAAGTTTATGAAACAGCATCTCTCATTAGCTCAGTACAATAGTTTCCTAATTGGTGTCCTTGGTCCTGTTCTTGTCACTTCTGTAATGTGATCTAAATTCAGGAGCCAGAGCGATTCTTTCAAAACTTAACTTGAGTCACAACTCCTCATCTCAAAAAGGATAAAGGCCGGGCTGGGGATGTGGTTCAAGTGGTAGCGTGCTCGCCTGGCATGCGTACAGCCCGGGTTCGATCCTCAGCACCACATACAAACAAAGATGTTGTGTCCACTGAGAACTAAAAAATAAATAAATATTAAAAAATTAAAAAAAAAAGATAAAGGCCAAAGTCATCACAGTAGCCTAGAAGTCCTCCAGGATCCTGCCTCTTTTCTGACCTCTGACCCATCACTCATTCCATTCTAGCTATACTGGCCTCTTGCCTGCCTGTGCCAGACAGACTTCTGTCTCCTGTATGGTCCTTCTATGTGGACCATCTTCCTCAGATGTCAACATGGTTGCTTCCCTCACCTCCTTCTGCTCTGCTTACTTTCTGCTTCAGAGTAGAAACTCCTGGTCACACAGGAGAAAATCAAACCCTGTCCCCACTGCCTCTATGCCCCTCTCCTGCTTTATTTATTTATCTGTCATTTCTCTCCATCTAACATGCTATATTACTGCTTATTTATTTAATTTACTCTCTAAATCTCACCATTTAAATGTAGACACCACAAGAGCAGGGATATTCTTTTCTATTTTGCTTGTGCTCAGTAAATATTTATAAAATGAATGAATATCATGTGGTATGTAATGAAATTCATTGTTTTCATTGAGTATCTCTTAGGTACTCAGGGCATCTAGAACAATCTATTCCTCATGGACTCTGCCCCTTAGGACCTTCTGATAGTCAAGATAAGTGCGTGCACAACTAACAGGATAGACTAGAGTAAGTGACAGAGAGATCTAAATAAGATGCTGGTGGAGCAGAAAGACACAATTCAATTAACAATGACATACATGGGTCTAAGAACTTGAACTGGGTCTTAAAAGATGGAAGAAGATAGAAGGTTAGAGGGAGGTAGTAAGTTAAAGCACAAAAGTAGGAAAGCATGGTATATGGGTGGCAGAGTGATTTGGGTTTAAATTAGGTACATAAAGAGTATGACTGAGGTCTTGAGCTAGAACTGCATGAAGAGGGTGCCAATGTAAAGTTTTAAGCAGAGGATAGCATGTGGTTTGAGAAGATATTTCTGGTGGTAGGAAGATCTTTCTGTTGGGGGCTGAATTTCAGGAATGCCAGCAAAGGCTATTGCTGAGGTCCAGGCAGTCTAGATAGTGGTATAGACTAATCTTGGTGATAGTAGGGAGGAAGAGAAGTGGATGGATACAGTACATGTTGTTGAAACAATTAAAAACTTGCCAGTGATTAATTATGAGGACAAGGGAAGAGGTGAGGATAATTCTACATCTAGGGGTTCAGCTTGATGGTGGGTTCTTTAGGGCATGCACTATAACCCATCCAGCCATCCAATAAAGATTTATTTCCCATGATTAGGATATTAATTCTGTCCTGGGCACTGGTAGAGTAGAGAAGAATAAAACATGACTCTTGCCCTCATGGTACCTAAGGCTAGGTACTCAGGGCATCTATAACAATCTATTCCTCATAGACTCTGCCCCTTAAAACTTTTTGATAGTCAAGATAAGTGCATGCACAACTAACAGGATAGGCTAGAGTAAATGACATAAACAGAGATCTAAATAAGAGGAAGCTATTAGAATATAGTATGGTAAGTTCAGTGATAGAGCTACTACAAGGTTCTATAGAAAGTGGCAAGGAAAAGAGGGGCATCTAATCATCCTGATAGGGAGGTCAAGGGGAACTTATTGATCTTTATGCACCTTTCTGTCTCCATAACACAGGGCTTTAAACATAAGACGTGTTTTATCCATACTTATTATAGTTGGATATGGTTTGAACATGTCCCCTAAAAGTTCATGTGTTTGAAACTTGGCCCCTAGTGTGGCAGTGTTAAGATGTTGTGGAACTTTTAGAAGTTGGGCCTAGTAAGCAATGATTACTCACCAGGGGCATCACACTTGGAAGAGACTAATGTAGTCCTTGAAGAATGCCAGTTAGTTTCTGTGTGAATGGGTTGTTACAAAAAGAGTAAATCTGGACCCTGAACATTTCTGGCTTTCTGCCTCACTAAGTGATCTCCCCTTCTGTACATGACTGATTTCCTTTCCATTTCTCTGCTATATTGTGACCTAGCCAAAGGAGCCCTGACTAGAGGCCAAACAGATGAGGCCACTCAATCTGGAACTTTTGACCTCTAAAACTTCAAGATAAATAAACCTATTTTATTTATAAGGTACCCAGCTTCAAGTATGTTGTTATAGCAACAGAAAACAAACTAATATAGTGCTGAATTCAGTTAGTGGAGAAAATAGGAGGAAGTTGTTGTTGGTCGTGTTGGTGGTGGTGATGGGTGGTGGTGGTGTGTGTGTGTTGGGAGTTAGTGATGATTGATACTGAAGATGATGGATTGTTTGAGAGTTGCTGAGTGAAAGTGTAGCAAGTCATAGTTCCAAATATTTCCAGCAAACAGTGTGGATAGGGACATGGGAGGGAGATTAAGAACTAGAGATGAAACAAACAAATGACAGTATAAGGTTTTAGGCAATGAAGTGTAAAATATATTGCAGATCAAAACTCTGAGGCTGAAAGTGCATTAAGGATGGAAGTGATAGGGCTTGAGCTGAATGCTGAAAGACAGACAGGCTGTGGACAGGCCCAGAATAAGGGGAGGGACAATCTAAGTCATAATAATTGGTTGGGAAAAAAGACACCATGAAGGTTCTCTGGTAGAACAGAGCAGAGGGAGCTTGGGGGATAGTACAATAGATTAACATAGTATAATGAAAATTTCTTGTTGGGAAAGTTAGATGAGCAATAAATCTTTGCTGACCTGAATTCTTTTTCAACCCAACTCTTTGCCACTTCTACAAAATAGTAAGCCAAAATCTATCTAGGATGCTGCAGAGGGACATTATTAATTCTAATGCTTGTTTTTTCATGTTTAGTCTAGAAAATATTGTCATTTTTTCTTCTTTCCATAAACTCTGTTCTGTAACTTAGGAAAGAAGATTTGTCTTGCAGGAGGTTGAAAAATAGTGATTC